TGTTTTTTTTTCTCGGGTGCGTTGGGGCTCTTGTTTTGACAGGCAATCTTTGCGCATTCGGATGATTTTTTCATTGATTTTGCGGATTCAGAGACGTGACGCATTTGAGTGGAATATTTTTCATTTTTGTAGGCATTTGAACAATTTTTTTTAATGAAATTAGCGAATTATTTCGATGGAGATAAATAATTCATTTATTGTAGATTAATTTGAGGTTTTTTTATTGACTTCATAATGAAAAATGAGATATTTTTTATTTCAAATATTAGGAATCATTTTTTAATATTTTTCAGACATTTTTAATGCGATTGAAATTCTCTACAAAAAGTGTTTTGAAAATTTCTGAAGACTTTTCGGAGCAATACCTTGTTTTCAAACACTTTACGACTGATTTAAAAAATCCAATGAATTGCAAATCATTTGTGACTAAAATCAATCAATGATTTTCAATTTTTATTATCATTAAATCGACATGCGTGATTGAATTTTCCGGAACTGATGCAGATTATTTTGACAATATCACCTAAATTAATTAATTTAGAAAAAAAAATGTCAATAGATATTTTTTATAGTCCATGGAAACTTCCACAAAAATTTATTACAATCTCGTCCCTTCGAAGATGTTGACGAAATAATTTTCGAATGAAATTTTCACAAAATCTCCACAAATTGAAAAAAAAAAAATTGAATCGCCTCAAGAGAATTGTGACCAGCAAAGAGAAATCGTCCCATTAACCCGTACAAATTATAACCGATGAATATTTAATCTCCCCCGAATCACAAAATTTATTTCCCCTGATTTACCGATATCTTTCGGCGCCGCACACTAATAACTCAGACTGTAACGCATTATGAAAATGTCGTTTACACTGAGCATGAAATATATGGATTCATGCATGCCCCTTGATTTATTTTTAATTGAGTCTGGCTTTAAAACGTTCTCGGTAATAATTCACGGACGCAGGAGCGATTGGGTAAATCTCACCGGTTTTTTAATCACACTCAAAGGAGACCCAGGTTTTTGGCGTCTAAGTTTTTTTAAATGATTCTAGTCGCGTCATTGGGCGGTTGATGACACAAGATATAGGGGGGAGAATAATTAACAACCGATTGCGCATTTTCAACGGTATAAACGGTATAGACTGAGGAAAAAATTCCTTGACGAGGATATTCAAGTTTTACGCATAATTATGCGTAAAACTTAAATACAAAACCGAAAATCTGACCCTTTGGCTCCGGGTGAAAAATTTTTTTTTTCAGTTTTCACTTTTTCCACATACTTTTGAGAGTTCTGAATAGCCCGTCGCTCAAATCGTTGGAATCAAAGTTCACCCNCGGCGGAAAAATTCGATTTTGGCGAAAGTCAACTTTCCCCCCGAAAAAAGCCTAAATATGGCACTTTGGTTCCGGGTGCAAAAAAAAATTTTTTTATTTCTGCATTTCTGGGGCAAGTGAGGGGCGCAGTGGCATTAGGCGGGCCAGAAAATACAGAATCAACTTTCACTCGGCGGAAAAATTCCATTTCGGCGAATGTCGACTTTTCCCCTGGAAAAACCGAAAATCTGACCCTTTGGCTCAGGGTGAAAAATTTTTTTTTTCAGTTTTCACTTTTTCCACATACTTTTGAGAGTTCTGAATAACCCGCCGCTTAAATAGTTGGAATCAAAGTTCACCCGGCTAAAAAATTCGATTTTGGCGAAAGTCGACTTTCCCTCTGGAAAAACGGAAAATCTGACCCTTTGAAAATCTGAAAAAAAAACTTTTTCAGTTTTCACTTTCTCCACATACTTTTGAGAGTTTTGAATAGCCCGTCGCTTAAATAGTTGGAATCAACGTAAAGTAACAACAAAATAAAGTTAATTAAAATAAAATAAATCATTCCATAAGTTTCTTAAATATTTCCCCTTTGAAATAATCTCATTTTTGTTTCTTTCTGGATGAATGGACTCGTGTTTATACGATCCTCGACTCGGAGACGTGCAGAGTCACCCAAAAAACTACTGGCGTATGTGAACGCGGGCAGGTATCCACGAGATTAAATTCCAAAGTAGTTGAGTCACAAACTGAGTTCCCTGAAAACTACATGGACCCCGTGTGACTACCCACATTACGTGCCTACGTAGTGAATTCTCCTGGTTCATTTTTTTTTTCAACGGAAATTCGTCACGTATTAGGTATCGAGTTGCTGGATTTCGTGCGTCAAAATACTCGAGTTAATTTTCGATTTGTGGTCTAGAGCCATTAGGCGAAAGTTAATTATCCCGGATCTGTGAGGCATTTCCGGCGCTGCATTGCTAGACAATTACTCTTGAAATTTCAAGTTAAAAATCTACCAGTTTTCAACATTCACAATTTTTCATTAAATTTTTCTACATTTTGTTGTCGAGGAATTATGTCATTATTTATTTCATTCAATTAGAACTTTTTCATTGAACTAAATTTATGAGTTAATTAATTTTCAATAAAAATATTGTTGAAGTCATAAATTTTTAACACAAATACAAAATAATAGAAATTTTCAACAAAATAATGAATAAAAAAAAATGAATGGAAAATTTTGCTCACAACTAGACCTTAAATTCACTTAAAATCCCCAAAAATAATTCAAAAGCATCAAATACTCAATTTTTTTCAACTCCCACCAGTATTCCCGTCATTCCCTCAATTGCTTCCCAACAACCTGAAAATATTCCGCACCAAAAACATTGAATTCCCTCGCTAGTCATTTCCACACTTAATTTCATAACGAAGAAATTCCCTGGGAGTTACCCTCGCAATCTATTCATTTAAATTCACCCTGAAAATCCTCCAAGAAAGCTCATTAATGCCGAAGCAGTAAACGGGCCCCAGGTAAGCGGGACAACCCCCGCAGACGGGGCCTCCGGCCACAGGAATAATCACCGAGGCTCCCCCCCCCCCTCCGGAGTCTAGACCCTCATTGTGACCAAGTGCAAACAGACGTTATGAATTATGAAAATATTCCAGGGAGGAGATTCACGACCACTTTAATGTTCCTCCCAGGGTTTCTTCACCTTCAACCTTGCCTCGTAGTTATGCAACATTCCTGGGGGAACCGCTAGACCAAAACCCAATCGTAAATTCAGGAATTCGCGAGGTTTTGGTGTGCAAAAATTCTCTTTTTTTTTAATTATCGACGAAAGAATTTTTTTCGCTCTGCGCAAAACTAAAATTGTCGGTCTTTAATCGACAATATCTCCTGACGAAACGATTCAGCTGGGTCGCGTCTCATTTTAAAGCTTGAAAAAATACCTTCAAAATGAAAAAAAAAAATCGTAAAATTTTACTCAGCCATTCTCGAATTACTGCCAATTAAAGAAATCCTGTTTTGGATTAATGTTTCTGGACACATGAATTACCTCAAATTACCTCAAGAATTACTCCGAATGCCTCTGGAAATGACGGTAAACATTAAATTTGTAACTTTGTATCGCTAGGAAGCCAACCGGAATTATTTTGATTCAGGTACTGAAATTTTTTAATCGTTTTTGTATTTTTTTTTATTATTGACTAAATAATTTTCTTTCAGTCTGTATAAAAAAAACTCGTCTGTCTTTAATCGTCAATATCTCCTGATCAAATGATACGATTTTATTTGTCCACATCTCATTTTGAAGCTTAAAAAAATTTCTTTAAAATGAGAAGAAAATCGCGAAAATTTACTCTGCCATTCTCAAGCAATTAATAATTGAAAAACCGCGTTTTTAGCTAATTTTTGAAACAAATGTTTATGAATGCATTAATCACTTCGAATTATTAAGAATAATCCTTCATGCCTCTGAAAATACTAGTCAACATTAAATTCGCAATCTCGCGTTGCGAGGAAGCCATCCAGAATTATTTTAATTTATGTATTTCCCTCGGAGGCGCCCGTGCGGACCGCACAATGGAATCCTGGTGCCCCGGAGGGCCTCACCGCCATAGCCGGCTGTTTCGGGCCCTCGTGGGAAAATCGAGCACGTGCGAAACCCCAAGGACCAGCAGCCTGTTATTGTTCCATCGTCTTCGTGTCCTCTCCCTACCCCCCGCCTCCCCCACACCCAAGGCCTTCTTTCAAACTGTAATCTAAGACGATCGGGGGGGCCCCCCCTCTTTCTTCTCCACATCTTCGTGCTTTTTATTTTCATGGGGTCTCACTGGTATCGGTATTTCTACCGTTGATTTTTATTCCAATGTCTTCGGTTTTATGTGTTTAGGATGGTCTGACTGCCATCGAGACGTCTCTAGTGGTGACTTTTTTTTTCCAGAGAAAATTGAGGGAGATAATAGGGTTTCTAAGTGTTTCAGGGAGTTAATGACGTCGGGACATTTATATCGAGTCGTAAACGAGATCTACTGGAATTTCTTAATCGAGAATTTTCTTTTTGGGACTTGAAAGGGATTTAAATTCATGAAGACTTGCATAAAATTCAGTGCACTCATTTTTCAAATAATTGAAAAAATATCGATGACAAAAATAATTGATGAACTGATCTATTTATTTATTTTAATCAAAACATTTCAATTATATGAAATAAATAATTAATTCCATACAATTGAAATTTCTTCGGGGCTTAAAAGAGAATTGATTTCTTGAAAATTTTTATGAAATTTAATTCACCGATTTATTTAATGTTAAAAAATTTGTCGATGACAAAAATCATTGATGAACTGATCTATTTATTCATTTCAATGAAAATATTGTGATGATGTGGAATATCATATGGAACTGAAGAATTATTTGGGCTTGAAAAGAACTCAAAGGAAAAATCGCTAAAAAATTGCTGGAAAATCGGTAAATAAAAATTTGAAACGTAATTAACGTTCATGTGCCACGATTTTCCTCGTGAATATTGCGGACACGTGACCCGCGAGAACATAGAAAGCCCCGTACACTTATTACCGTCGCCTCCGCGCACTTATCCTCTCTCTGTCAGTGCAGAGGAGCACGTGCCAGCTACGAAGGCCACCGCGGCTACGTGCAATTTTCCCCCCACACAATTGTCGAGGTGATTTGAATTTATGGAAAAAAAATGTTTCCGGGTGAGTATATCCTCATTTGTAAATGCGCATTTCATGGAAATCAGGTGGAAAATACGGTCGACTTTTTGTTTTGAGATTTTTTTATCTCGATTTGAACCGGTCGATATCGCGTACACACGAGACAATGGATAATAGAGAAAAAAAATTCTTTTAAGCGGAAAATTTATTGAAACGCAATGAAAAAGTTGTTCTACGAATTTTTGAATTTTTTTTGTTGATAAAATAAGTGGAAAACAAGTGGAGAATGAAAAAAGATTTTTCTGGAGTTCTTTTTTTCAAGAAAATTCAAGAGAAATAAATTGAGGAAATTGTTTTTTCGCAAGTTGTTAAAAAATAATGTAAAAATATTTTTCACGTGACGCAATTTCCAGAATATCAATGCAATCCAGTGTATTGTGAGTCGCACGAGCCTGGGAACGCGATAGCACGTGCCGAACGATAAACCCCCATGTAGTGAGAATAAAAGAGAAACACTCAAAGGGCCATGTGTTTTCATTCCAGGTGAACTCGACTCCGTGGGAATGCTTACCCCAGCTCTTCACTCTTTACCATTAATATTGCCCAAGAGATTCTTCAAATCGGGTTTAATTTACGAGTGACGTTCAAGAAGATGTACCACTTAAGGAAGAAATAACCCAATCTTGAGCAATTCACAAATAAACTTAATTGGAAAAAAAAATCTTTTAGTGCCGTAACATTAATCTTGAAATTATCAGCAGCAAAATGCGACTGAATATTATCTTCAATTGTTGCAATTAATTTTCAAGACGAAAACGAAAATTCCCTAGATGATTTAATCTTTGGAGGAAATTTCAGAAAATTGTGAATTCAAAGGCATTTGTCACTTGAATTTCAGAAAATATTATGCATTTAAGACGAAAAAAATTGAAGTAATAAAATTTTTCTGAAGTAATTCACGACTAAATTCAATTAAAAAACGAAGAACTTTTGAAATTTTCACCAAAAAAATTCAATTGAACGTACTCTCCAATTGTTACAATTTATTTTCAACATGAAAAAGAAAATTCCACAGACAATTCACTCTTAAACAAAATGAGAATTCATGAAATTTACAATATCTCTGCATCAGTCTCTCAAATTAAAAAAAATATTGAACATTTAAGTAGAAAAAATTCCAAAAACTGCAGTAATAATAATTTTTCATGGCGAACACCCCTAAAAACCCTGAATAAATCCCAAAAAAATGCCAAATTGGTGAATAGCCATTGACAGTAATGTTCCTGACTGTTCTCCCCATAAAGAGAAGAAGCCCTGAAGAGTGATGTTACCCAGAGGAAGAGTGTAAACCAGGGGATATCCGGATGGGGCATTAACTGGTCAGTGGGCATTCCCACGGGGCACGAGGAGCATTATTAGCCCCAACACCCCCCCATCTTCCGGATGAAATCGACCCTTCTCCCCGTAGTTTGTTGTCAAGTCGATGCCCCCCGTTCTGTTTATGCCCGTATGATCACTCCTGGGGGCTCGAATCGACGCGTGCGAACGAATGTTTCAGTCATTTCGAGGGGTGAAATTTCTGAGGTATCTCTGCCGTGTTCATTACACAGGGCACGAGCCGAAAGGTGACATATGTTTTTTTTTACGAGGGGAACAGATGGGCACGTGGGAAAATTGATACGTTGAAGTTTAAACGAGATTTTTCCAACATTTTGGTGCCATTTCGCTCGAAAAACAGGTAAATTTCAGCTAAAAAACTCAATATGACGATCTTATTTGGTCCATTAGTTCTCGAGTTACTAAAAAAAATTTTTTTTGCGTAAAAAACACTATTTAAAAATTATCTTTAGAACTATTGGGAATAAAGAGGGCGTCATATTGTGTTTTACATAAGAAATTTCCCTCGCTACCCGATAAACAAATTAAATTTCCATTTTTCGGATGAAAAAAGTTTTTTAAATGAGATTCTCGATCATTTTGATTTTATTTAAATTGATAATTCAGCATTAAGAGTAATTCTATTAAAAAAACAGGAAAATTCCTGCTGAGAAATTCAATTCAAGACGACCTCATCGAACCCATTAATTCTCAAGTGATTGAAAAAAATTTGTTTCCATAAAAAAACGTTTCTTTTTATTATCTCGAGAACTATTGGCAATAAAGAGTTCATCTATTGCCTTTTCAATTTCCAATTTTGCATAAAAAATGTTCCTCCCGATCCCGCGAACTATTGAAATGTAACGGCCGTTGGACAGAGTTACGACGACTGGCAAAAAATTAATGTGTAATTAAAACGGGGAAAAAAGCGCATTAATCCTCATCTCGCGCAATTAAAACCACTGTTGACTCACTTCCTTCCTTCCGCTCTCGCAGACTCCGCACTAGCCACGTGTACACCGCACGTGCCTCACACAATCGCGTACCTCAAGTGTAAACTACACACGTGCAGTAAAATCCCACCTCCCCACCGCCAAATTCGCGAGTTAGACGCGAAATTGATGTTTCGCGATGCGTCTTACAACGCACGTGCGGGCAAATTGACTCCCGCGAGAGTCTCGAGTTGTGCACGTGGCTCGATTTCCATTCACTCTGCGCTACAACTCCGCTGTTTTTTTTTTATCAACTGACAATGAGAGTTGGCTTCATTAACCGACACTTTGCAATTGCCCAACGCGCAAACATCAATTTAATTGATTGACTGATCCCTGCAGCAACAGCTCATTAAACTTTTCAATTAAATAATTGTTATATTCCGCGACAAGAAGAAAAATCAGCGAAAATCCACGTGACAGACTCCAAGAAACGCTCGTCCCATCGGGGAAAAAAATGAGAAAAAAAAATTCACTCCATAGAAAGGAAAATCTCAGAGTCTCGAGTAGTCACGTAACTCTCGTGGCAAACGATAACTGCCTAGGGCAGTCAGTGGGGGGGAATTAACAACAACTATAGGAAGCAGTAACTCGTTAATACCCAGAAGAGTCGCCAATCCCCCATCATCAAAGGAAAAATCAAAAGTGCCCTAAAGAACTAGTCTTCCAAACACAAAAACCAGTTCTCCACTGTTTACATGGAATCTCCAGAATTCTAAAAAAAAACAACAGACCAAAAACCTTCAACTGATTACAGCCTCGAAAAAAAAACCGCTTAAAGCCGATTAGAGGGAAATTAATTCCGATATTTGTGATGTCAGGTTCGAAATTAACGAGTTTTTGATTAATGCCAAAAGAATTTACGTTATTATCAGAGGAAAAATAATGGAAAGCATTTGGCTGTATAGAATACGAGGAAATAATTCGTTAAAAATGTTTGTCTTGTTTCTAACGAGCCGTTGATTCGGTGGATAAATGTTTTTGATAATTTTTTAAAATTAGGAGACTGTTAAGACACGATATCTCTTGAATTTTCTCCAGAGTTACATTATTTTTTATCACTTTAACAATTGTCCAATGATGAATAATTATCGTCAGCTCTGGTAGCCATTGAACTGTTCAATTAATAATTAATGTGCTATTTGATAATTTAACTTTGCTCCGTTGAGAGTTTAATAATGCATAGAAAGACGCCAGAACATTTTGCAGTTCGAGTTGATGAGCCGCGTCTCTGTCTTTTTATAATCGACGATGTACCATTAGATCCTTGATTCATAGCAAGAAAATGATCATAAAAATTGTTGAGGATTTCTACCAGCGAGATGATCTTGCGATAGAGAAACATGTACCCGTGATATTTACTGCAGCAAATGCGTTGGTAAATGATTATTAGAATTCATAAAATAAACAGAACAATTTTTTAATCAACTGGCTAATCGCAAAAGTGCCTTAAACAACTAGTCTTCCAAACGCAAGAACCAGTTCTCCACTGTTAACATGAAATCTCCAGAATCCTAAAAAAATCAGATACCAAATATCTTCAACTGATTGCCGACTGGAAAGAACCGCTTGAAGGCGGTTCGGGGGAGTTCAGTACAATATTCATGTTAGATTTGAAATTGATGAGTTTTCGATTAATGCCCGAAGAATTTACGTTATTATCAGCGGCAAAATGATCGAAAGCATTTGTTTGTACAGAATACGAGGAAATAATTCGTCAAAAGTGTTTGTCATATTTTTAAGGAGTCGTTGATTTGGTGGATAAATGTTTTGGATTGCTTCGTTAATTGAGAGACACCATCTCGACACGATAATTTAATAATTGTCCAATGATGAATAACTTCTCACTGTTGAATTGATAATTAACGTGCAATTTAATAATTTCCCTTTGCTCGGTTGGAGTTTAATAATTCATAGAAAGCCGGCGAACATTTTCCACTTCGAGTGGACGAGCCTCGTCTCCACCTTTTTACAATCACCGACATATCATCAGATCCTCGATTCACAGCAAGAAAATGGTCATAAAAATTGTTGAGCATTTCCACGACCGAGCGGATGATCTTCTGATGGAGAAACACGTACCCGTGATCATTACAACATTTACAAAATAAACCGAACAATTTTCAAATCAACTGACTCCTCGTGACATCATTTGAGTCCAACTGATAGCGAACCCTGAAGAAAAGTTCCTAAAAATTGAGAGCTCTGATTCATTTATTCCAAACGAGATTCGTTAATAGTTAACGAATGGTTCACTTGAAATTAAAAATCGCGTCAACCAAGGCTCCTCAAAAGTACATTTATTAACTATTAACGAAGGAACATTTGGTGAGACCGAATAGACCCCCGTCTCCACCCAAATCTATTCGTTAACAATAACTAATCCTTTCTATCACTGTGAAATTATTACGACTCATAATGCAAAATAAAGGACTCCCCTCCCCCCCCAGCAAGAGCAAATAGAAGACACCGAAAAATAAAAGTGGAATGAGGAAAAGAGAGTAGGAGTGTATAAGTGGTACGAATAAGGACAGAGAAACGGTGACGATGGCTTGGTGTGGGCGCGTGTCTGGCAGCTGCCGCTTACAGGTGGTGTGCTTGCTTGGGAACCAAGCTCCACGGCGCGTTCCCACGGAAGGTCCGTTTCCCTCTCCCCTTGTCCCACCGCCGGGCCCCGTTTTCCCCTAGCTTCTCCACACTTCTCCCCCTCCCCGAAACAACCAGACGAGATTCTCCCCACATAACAGAAGCCCCTTGGCATACCATATAAAAGGCCCAGCGCAACATCACCACCTCACAATTCTCCGCTGATCGTTGAACAGTGCAGTTCGTAAGCACAACCAAGTTTCCATTTAAAAATCAGTGTTGACAGCGCACTCGCAGTCTCAAAGTACACACCAAGTGAATTTACAAGATTATAATTGATCTTGAATTGTGATTATTTGTGATTAGTGTGAAAATAACGAAGGATATTAATCAAACATGCAGATGCACGAGCAGATGATGGTTGTTGAGGGACAGGAGCAGCCAATTTCGCGAACATATCAGTACAGAAAGGTAAATATCAATAACGAGTTGACGAGTGAATTTTGACAGCCCCCAAAGTCCTGTTGAAAAAACCACCAGAATACTTGACATTACAGTCGAAAAGTCCAAGTTTCTGGGGGAATTTCGCTCCCAAATTGACCACCGCTAGGCAAAAGTTTTAATCTTCCTGTTTCTGTGTCTTCAGGTGATGAAACCAATGCTAGAACGCAAACGTCGCGCCCGCATCAACCTCTGTCTAGACCAGCTAAAGGACCTGATGGTGACAGCCCTAGCCGGTGACGGCGAGAACGTAGCGAAACTCGAGAAGGCTGACATCCTGGAGTTGACAGTTCGTCATCTCCACAAGCTGCAGCGCCAGCAGCGTCTCTCCGCGAATCCGGTGATTGATTCCGATCGCTTTCGCGCTGGCTACACACACTGTGCTAATGAGGTGAGCCGATGCCTGGCTGCAACACCAGGAGTCGATGTGGCGTTGGGCACAAAGCTCATGACACACTTGGGACACAAGTTAAATTCAATGGACAAGACTGGACCTCTGACTATTCACGTGGCGGCACCTCAATCATCACCGTCGGACAGCGAGTCCTCGATGGCGGATGATTACTCAATGCCACTGACACCGGCGTCGAGCCAGCCCTCACCCTCGGCAATCAGGAGTGACGTTGACCTGAGTATTTCGAGCCAAACGCACCAGGGGCTCCTGCAGGTCGCCAAACCCACGGAGGCCGTCTGGAGGCCGTGGTAAATCCACTTGGAAGATTTACGGGGGACAATTGTGGAAAAATCCTCGCGCCGCGGATTTTATTCCGATATTTGTGATGTCAAAATTACTGAGGTTTTTGAATAATGCAGAGAATTTACGCTATTATCAGGGGAAAGACGGTCGAAAGCATTTGGCTGGACAGATTAGGAGGACGTAATTCGTTGGAAATGTTTGTCATGTTTTTAACGAGTCGTTGAGTCGGTGGATAAATGTTTTTGATGATTTTTTTAATTAGGAGAGGGTTAAGACACGATCTCGACACGACACAAGGCCACGGTACCTCGTGCCAAGTGTTTCAAGCTTTAATTTACTCCAGAGTTACAATTTTTTTTTGTCACTTTAATAATTGTTTTATGATGAATAACTTTTTGTCTGTTCTGGCAGCCGTTGAACTGTTTAATTAATAATTAATGTGCAATTTAACAAGTTGACTTTGCTCGGTTGAGAGGTTAATAATGTATAGAAAGGCGCCAGAACATTTGTCAATTCGTGTTGATGAGCCTCGTCTCGGTCGTTGTTTTTTGTAATTGACGATGTATCATTAGATCCTTGATTCATAGCGAGAAAATTGTCATAAAAATTGTTCAGAATTTCTATGACCGAGCGGAGGATCTTGTGATAGAGAAACATGTACCTGTGATATTTACTGTAGCGGATGTGCTTGTAAATGATTATTAGATTTATAAAATAAACAGAACAATTTTTTTAATTAAGTGGATTATTTTTTAATTGGAATTACCAACCATGACCTTTCCCATCCGATTCAATCATGTGATATTATTCGAGCCCAATGAATCATTCATCGCGTGACGACAGATTTTATTTTAGATTCTCATGACACTAGTGCCAAATTAATTTCGGGTAGTTCATTGGGTGGAACTTTCGAATGTTATCTCGATTATTTTTCCATCTTCACAATCTAAAATTGTATCCTGAAAAATTACGATTGCACAATCAAAAAAAGAGAAAAAATGAACATTTTCAAAGAGCATTTTTAATGAAGTTTTGGAAATAAATCCGACAGAGAGGAAATTGTAAATGGATAATTCATCATGGCAACTATCGATCTGACAGGCATTGGCTATTGAGACAAATTATGACCTAACAGCCATTAAATACCGTAAATTATCAATTTGCAATTTCCCTATTCAGTTTATTTCCCAATGTTGTTCAAAAACGCTCTTTGAAAATGTTCAGTTTATTTACCACATTTTTTTGATTAAATAATCTTAATTTTTGAAGACTCCAGGGCAATTGAAGAACATTTCAGATGATCAAAATTTAAAAAAACAACGAAAATCTCGTTCGAAAGATGATAAACGCCGGGTTTAAATTCAATGGCATGTCTTTTTTAAAATGAAATTTTCAGTATGAAAATGTGGGGATTATTCACTGTAGAATTAATATTTAGCTAGATGAGGACGGTTAAAAGGGGAAAATAGACGCTATAAAAAGCTGTCGGTGAATTCATTGATATTGGGTCAATGTAATCATTTTTACAGACTCTAAGGCAATTACTCACTGGCTAGTTTATGGGCATGAAAGTACTCACTGGTGATAAGTTAAAACCGGTAGTACTGGTGCTCTCGTTTTGAAGGGGGAGTGGATCGATTCATTGAAATTTCGCGTGAATGCAGGGGCGTTCATTGATTTAACACCGAAGCTAATGCCGCCACGGTTTATCGAATGCTTAAAAAACTGAACGTAATTGAGAAGTCCCAGAATTTTTGTTGCAACGAAAAACAATTTTTCGTGTTTATAAAAAAACGTTTATTCATGGTCAATGTTTTTTACGATGTTTAGTAAATTTCGAAGGCCAAGAATTCATCAACAGCAAATCGTTTCGCAGTGTTGTCCCTCCTTAAATGATTTTTCTTTCATTAAAATTATTAATCTCAACCAGTTACCTATTTTTTCATTAATAAATGGTTGAAAAATGAATTTTGCGAATTTTAATAATTTTCAAAGATCAAAAATCGGTCAACAATACAATATTTCCAAGTGTTCTCCCTCCTTAAATGATTTTTTGTTAATTAAAATGGTTGATTTCAACCATTCAGCAATTTTTTTTCCCAAAAAACTGTTGGAAAATTCATTTTGCTGATTTTCACAAGTTTTAAAGGTTAAGAATTCCAAAAAAAATCGTAAACAATAATTTTATCCCGCGTTTGTGCCTCCGGAATTCCAAAAAAAATGAAAACCCCAACTCCAATTAATTAGGTTAATTAGACTAATTAACCACAATTGCGTTATCATCGAAATCTAAATAGCGTCGTTTGACATTGAACCACAAAATTGTTGTGGAAGCAACAGTGTCGCGAGCTCACACGTGCGGTATGTGAAAATAAAACGACGTTAACCCAAGTTTTTAGCCTGAAAAATGTGGGTAATTGGCATCACAGAGGCGCCAGAATCCTTAAATACCGTCTTGTGATGATTTGCGATGTTCAGAGAGTGGAAAAACATGCTTAGAATCCAATAATACTCACATTTACGACGACCAAATCGGCGCACAGCTGTAACACGTGCTGTCAGGGCAGGTGCACAATCACGCTAAGCGGCCATCTTGCGGCGTTCTCCCACCAACCTAAAACGTCATGGCGCGCTTTTCAATCGGAAATGATGATTCCAAGTTTATCTACAGAGAATACATCACGACAATATGATTTTATCATTCAAAATATAATTTTCATGATGAAAAACAAGTTATTCTAATGATTTCAAGTCCTCTTCTTACATTTTTACGAAAAAAAAAATTGTTTTTCGGTTGAAAAAAATTATTTTGTTGAGATTTAATATTTTTATGATTCAGGCTCGATAATATTGATAAATATACCCGAATAAATTAACGAAAATGTGTTCAGTATCCTATTAAAGTATTTTTTCATTGAAAATTAAATTAAAAAATTAATTCCCCATCGACCAATGAGAATAAATAATGCAAAGAAACATTTTCCACCTCTTTTTTTATCAGCAATGACTAGGGAAGAAACCCCTTGATGATCAGACCCAAAAATTTGCCCACAAAGGCCCAAAATTTGCATAAATTCACTGAAAAATATTTTTTTAGTGCAAACTATTTTTTGCATTCATTTGAGGTCGTCTTCTTTTATTTTTACACGAATTTTGTGAATTACAAAAATACTGTTTTGTTAAAAAAACGAATGGCTTGCAAATATTAAATTTTTTTAGTCATCAAACTAAAAAAACAATGATTTTCTTGTACTAAACTGTTTTTTGATGCAATTTATCACGAAAAAATTATTTTAGATCGCAAAAAATTGTTTTTTACCTTATTCTTCTACCAACAACGCCTACAGAAGGATTCCTCTTGACCATCAGACCCAAAAATCCCAGTGTGAGTCCCTCAGGCCTCCAAAACTCGTAAAAATCCCCTGAAAAAATCATTTTCAGTGCGACTAACCTTCAAAACCCCATTTCCTCCCTGTTCTCATCAATAAAAATGAAAAAAATGACTCAAAAACACCCACATCACAACCCCCAATCCCAGGGAAATAATTTCCTGCCGTTGAAAGCCTGTAAAACTCCCCAAAAAGTTGATTCACAAGATGTCGCCGAGGGAGACACTTGAAAATACTCAACCAACGCACGCGGTCGCGATTAAAAACGTCCGGGATCGCCATATTGTCTCGCGGTGAAAAGCAGAAAAAACATTGTGTTCACGTGGAATTCCCGGAAACCCGGAATAATCAGTTTAAAAAATCCCAAAAACCCCCGAAACCAGTGTTTTCGTGATCCTGCCAGAAAAAACGTGGGGATAAATCGTTGAAAATTAACAGGAATTGCGGATTAAATTGGTAAGTGAAAATCACCGGCATTTCTCACACTAGAGCCTCGTGCTGCTCTCGGCTTTCTTTTATCAATGACCCGCAGCCCGATTTTAAAAATCCGGAGTAATTCCCCGGAATAATTCGGCTGAAAATCCTTATATTCCCTCGAGAACTGTTTTTTCAATTTTATTTCGTCGATTTTTTGGGAGAGCGAGAGGTCTTCGGGGATAAGTGATGATTTATTTCCGCACTTGAGTCCATTACAAGATGTTGCACAATATGGACGCGAGTGAATCCCCAAAATGCAACACGTAGGACCGGTTTTTGGGAATTAATTGGTGTTGGAGAATTATGTAATTTTGGGGGGGTGGTTTCGGGTGTTTTTGGAGGGACGTTGGGGCGTGTGGATGATTGTGTCGATGGGGAACGTTCAAATACGACATCTGGAAATAGCGTGGAGAAAATTCCGTGGGCACGAAGGGAGCACAACGCCGCGGAGTCAATGGCTTCATCCTCAAATTCTTTCTAAAATTTATAATTTATTCCGTGGGGTTCTCCAGTTATTTTTGAGTCGACTTTCTCTCAACGATCCTGGGAATTTTGAGTTTTTGGGGTTTAGGAGCGGCGAAAATTTTTGGGGACACGTTATTACTCAATAGTTTTGCTTCGCTGGTTTTAATTCAATCGCTGGAGGTATCGATTCATTGGAGGGGAATTTCCTGCGTCTCGATTCAGGATTTTTACTCGTGTTTTTAATATTTATTAAAGTGATTATTTAATTCATTTTTCCAATTGTTTTGGGTCTGGGGTCTCTCGGTGTTCTTGGGAATTTTTATTTTGGAGAATCGAAAATTATTGTCCAATTGTTGTTTCCTCTCCATTGCAGGGATTTTATTTATTTTTTAAATTATTTTTGAATTGATTATTCACTGAATTTTTACAGTGAGTTTTAAGTCAAGTTTCTTGCGATGTTCATGAGAATTTTCAGTTTTCATTATTGAGAGAGAAGTATCTACTGCGTCTTCATTTTATGAATTTTATTTACATTTTAAATGTTTTTAAAAAATGATTATTCATTCGATGAATGTTTCCAATTATTTTTAGTTTTAGAGCATCGAACATTGTTATTAAATTATTGATTCATCGGAGAGGAATTCACAGCGTCGCTATTTCCGATTTTATTCATATTTCTAATAGCCTCTTCGTCGATCGTTTTGTTTATGTCAGCGCCTCGAACATTCACTATCTATTCAGGCATTTACTGAAGCTTCTCGCAAACAAAAAATGTCGCTCGTATTTTCCTCAATTTTCTAAATAAATAATAAATTCATTTCGCCCATCAACTGAAGAATATTTCATTCACCTAAAAATAATTACGAAGGGAGGGAAAAATATTCTTCCATTTCGTCAATGTTTTCCACCAAAAACTGTTGCTCGGTGTTTAAAACTGATTATTTACGAATAACAGAATGTTATAAAAATTGTTAACAATTTTTCTGTTTCATCAGCAATTCTAACGAGCATTAATCATTTATTCACTGACGAATTGCTGATGTTTCCCATAATTTTTTCGAATTATTTGTGACACTATCAGGATTAATGAACCCAGACAATCCACTTTGTATTTGTTTTCATTTTCATTAAAGCCCGATGACTCCATTCTCCTCATTAGCAAGGTAGTTGTTCAGTGACTGAAGCCATTGGGTGAGACACGTATGACAGAAATAGCCATGTGGCTATTACTGATAAGACGGTCTCGGCAATTTATTTCAAAACCCAAGTCAATTCCTCTGTCCCTTCTGCCTCTACTGTTGTGCTGACAGCGTAAAATTGAAGAATACGACATTAAAATGCGTCTGAATACCAAAATATTTATCGAGCGAAGGGGAATACAATTGAAGTGGAGCGATCAATAATTTTTCATTCACGAAGGAAATTCCTTCGGCGCATTCATGTTATTATATTCGAGTTGCCGGTGTTTTCTACTCTCAATTATGCGCGGAATCTTTCGTATTTCGCCGTTATATCACCCTTGATCTGATTGTGTCATCGAAAAATTGGTTATGACCTGTATTATAATTATCAGTAGCGATAAATGCCAGCGATGAAACGGGAATTGAGTACTCCACAGTGATTTCTTCATTATTTCGAAAGTTCCCATCACTTATCACTCGATATTGAGTCAAGACTGGGAGGAATCGACTCCATCTACATCAGATAATATTGGGTATGCGAACATATGGGGCTGAAGACGAGAGTTTAGCCCTGGAAGGAGTCACAACAGCTGTGGAAGTAAAATTAAATTTTTTTTCTTTTCCAGGAATTTATTTCGATTTTTAAACCTATTTTCGATTCGTTATGAGTGTTTTGATGTAGAGAAGACTGAGGGGATATTATTATGATGGAAAAGTAGATATTTCTGTAAAGCCACGGGATGTCGACGACCCACGCAATCATGCGCCAGACCTCCAGGTTTTTTAACTGGACCCACTTCACTCCTTTTTTCTCTAGGATTCTTCGACCTCTCGAATCAATTCTCCGGAGTTCGTGGGCATAAATAAATGGGAGGAGAGGTTTTTTTGATTGGATTGCGAGGTGTAGATTATCTTCACGTATTTAATTGGCTTGAACAGAATTATTTTGAAACAGAATGCCTGAATTTTCTCATAAAAAATAACTCGTGACATTGTTTTCGATGATGATTAATCCTCTCGAGATTTTTAATTAAGAGAAAATAATTTTGATTATGAGGAATGTGAAGAAAGGCATAATAAGCAATTTTATTCAATTGAGAAAGAATAAATTTAAATAATCCAATATAATTACAATATTCAATGTAAAAATTCATAAAATTAACGACTGCATCAATTCTACTCCATATTAATTCACGCAATCCTTGTTTCTTCATAAAACATTCAAATTCTGAAAGTCTGAAGTACGATAATGAATAATGTCTGTAATTATTTCGATAATAATTGATCAAATGTCTAAAATTCCGCTATTATTAAGAAGGGAATAAATGATCTATTAAAAAAAAAGAATGACTTCTGAAACCGCATTGAATAAATGTTTGCTTCGTTCCCCGCAAATTTGAATTTTCATGCACACGAGCAGAAATTTATCTCTTCCTCATTGTCGAGCATGCAAATGAGGTAGAAAAACTCTAGGCATTCGTACCTCCCTTCTACCTGCTTCAAGTCTCGCCTAGAACGAATAGTCACTCGTTTTATTTCGGCTTTTCATTTTCTTCATTTTGTCCAGTTGTGCACCGGTCGTAGCCCGTGCCCAACCGGCTCAACCGCTCAGTTCTCTGTCTGCGTCTGCGCACCTCGACGCGGTTGGACTAGAATGTTCTTCCTCGCAACCACGTGTAGCACAATTTTCATGAAAAATCGAGGTTTTTAAATTATTGACAACATCGTTTAAAATATTTATTCAGTCTGCGTTGAATAATCTTAATTGATATTTCCTGTGTTTACGTATTTTATTTGAACGTTTTTTTTAACTGTTTTATTGTCACATCTGGGCATTTGTGATCGACATTTCATGAATTTTAAGATGGATTTTTCATTGGTAAGTCCTCAAAACTTTAATTCCATTATTTTAGCATTATTTTCTCGTGAGGAAATTCTTAAAAAAATGTGTAATTATTTTTGTCTACCGTATGGGAGGATTGAGAATAGATGAATAATTTTTATTATTGAATAGAATTCATTAATTTATCGAATTCATTGATTTATCAGATTAATTTAATTCAGTCTGTAATTTAATCAATACATTTTTCCACTCGTTTCATCGTCCCATCTTTGCATTTTTAATCAACAAAATACAAAATACGAAATGCTTTTCCTCATTAAAATGCAAAATCAATAATTTTATTCAATCAATCCAATTCTCAACGAATTTCAATTTCAATTGATTTAATCATCCCACGTGTCCCATCTGATTAAAAACAAACCAGGTACCACTGATTTACGAATGATTTATCGTGGATTATAAAACTGTTGGCAATTCATCGGGCGCAGCAATATCGCCGCCATAAACTCTGATAACTCTCGTGGATAGTTGCAACGATTTATTTCGCTCCGTGATTTTTAGCGGGAGAACCAGTCCCTCGCACTTGAAGCGAGTTCCCTCACCTCCGTGAAAGTTCAATTGCATTTTGTCAGGGCATGTAACATTCACCTCATAAACCCTTCAGTACAAAAATCAATTCATTCGACCAAAAGAGAAATTGAACGAAAAATTAGTGACGATTTTTTTTTCGTCGCTTTTTTTCGAAAGAAGAGAATAAATTGAGCCCTGAGAATGTGATCTGCGCACATTGCATGCACCTCGCGGAGATTGTCAGCATTTTTTAAATCCGTAAGAAGCAAGGATAAACTTTTTCTACTGATAGTGGAGCATTTTTCCATGAAGTTCGCATAATTCAACATTCTTATCCATTGCAAAACGTGATTTTCGCTGCAACGTATACGTTTCAATTATTGTCGAGACTTTTCCGACACTGAGTCACAGGGAAATGCCTCGAACAATTCCCCTGCGAACAGTTTATTCATCGCGTGCATTCTAGACTCTTGCAATTTGTTATCTACGTAATTTCCTCGGAAATGCGTCATTCTAGAGTGAAATGCCTCTAGACCTTTTTTGTAGCTGATAAAATTCCCTACGAAAAATCTTTTCTGAGACTTCCCTCTAAACTGCATCGTTCTCGAGATAATCCTACGTGAAGCGTTTTCATTAAATTCCTCTCAGTTCTCCCAACTGTCGAATTGCAATTTGTTAATTCCCAATTATCTATGAAACTACGCTTCCTACAGCAAAAAGTCTCAGGACCTTTTTTGTAGCTGACAAAATTTCCCACAAAAAACTCCTACAAAATTCCTTCCCAAATCCACTCATTCCCTTGGAAATCCCCTATCAAACATTTCCACAATTCAGCAGTGATTAATTACCTTTCAGCCCTCACAATTTTCATCGCAAAATAGCTACAGTGGATCGGAATCATGGCTATCAGGAACGTGCAGCTCGTGAAGTGGACTTTCCCCTTCGCCCTGATAATCGGTTTATTCTGGTACAGGCGTCGACGCGTAGATCGAGTTGATCCAGGTGGAAAGTCAGAAATCGAAAAAGAGGAGCTTAAAAATAGTCAGAAAGCCCAGGCCAACGTCAAGAAGACGAGTCTCAGTGACTCTGGGATAAACATCGACGACTCCCCCTCGAGTTCGCCCCATCAGAAAGGCTCATCAGAGGGTCCGGGAATAGGCTCGAGTCCCCGAAGAGTCAGCGAGAGCCTGGACATTCCCACGAGGAGGTCGAGCTCCCAGGGAATCTCGATTAAATCAGCCAAGTCTGGGAGCAGTCCTTGGTACACTGAGGTAGAGGACATACCCGAGATGAAGGGCATTGTCCTGGGGAGCAATCCGAAGAGCTCGAGCTTCGACATGATGTCCAGGAGCAAGAGCCACCTGGAGATGACGAAGGAAACTGAGGAAAAAGTCACCTTCAGCCACGTCCCTGAGGACGAAGAGCCAAAGATCTCCATTGATGAGACCAAGACCACGGGACAGGCTATTTCTGAGCGAGATTCGGCTAATCACAGCCCTGTGTCTGGAGTACTTGATGGCAGTGTCAATGACGAAGTCAGGAGCGAGGGCAGCACTGACAGTGGAAAGGGTAGATAATTTTTTGTGTTTTTCGACAACATGAGAAAGATGATTTTACCCTGATGGGACGGGAGTACCTGGTGGAGAGCTGAATCCATTGGTTTGACGCTGATTTCGTTGAAATATCACTTGTTTTAGGGGCTTTGGGGAATTAAAGTAGAGTGGGTAGTCTAGTGTGGAATTATCTTGAAAGAAATGCAGAACTTTTTGGTTCAAACCACTTGCTTTCACGGTAATTTCATAATTAGAGGGATTCAATTATTAGAAGATTATTAAATTATTTTATTGTGGAATTATCTTGGAAAAGAGTTGTTTCATTGATAATTGCATAATTAGCTGGACAAAATCAACAAAATGTTGAAAAAAAATTCAGAGTCCTCATTATCTACCTAATTATCTCAGAAATGAGTGACTCTAGAAAAAAATGCCAAGATAGCTTTCTTGTAGCTCAAACATTTTTCTACACAAAATATATTATGACATTTCCCCTCAAAATCATCCGTTAACGAGATAATTTCACAATTCCGTAATTGCATCACCACAAGAACAACTTAAAATTAAAAAACTAGTGAGTAATGACTGAAATAAATGACAAAAAAAAATTTTCCAGGTGGAAGCATCAATGGCCAATTGACAAAGCGAAAATCCACAACAATCTACGAATTCGCAATGCCCCAGACCCTCGTAGGTCGTATGATTGGAAAACGAGGTATATCAATTCAGCAATTGAATGCCAAAGCAGAAGTGAATATAATCGTAAAACGTCACCCAACAACAAAGCACCTGAAACTCTGTGTGATCGAGGGACTGCCCGAGAACATAAACACAGCACTGGATCTAATCAGACAGAGATTTCCATTGAAAAAATACCCTGAAGTGACACTCGAGCAGGTGAACTTCACTAACAATCCCGAGGAAATTCCCTGGATGACTGAATTAATGCAACTGCACTTGGTGGATGGAGTGAATAACGATGTTATGGTCTGTCACATTTTGCAACCTGATAGGCTGTTTATTCAGTTGCCAACTCATCCAACTTATCCATCACTGAGGCTGTTAGATTATAATATGACACAGTTGTATAATACTGTTGAGTCACCACCTGTACCAGATCAATTGGCTCGTGAGTTTCATTTATTTTTAACAATTGTTCTTCAATTATCCAATAACCCAGGAAATCTTCTCGATATTTTTAATTAATTTCGAGTAATTAATTCGTTTTTTTTTAAATTTAAGGATAAAGACTTTTAAATTAATTTTGAGTGATTAATTGCTCGTAATGTCCCTGGGAATGAGCAGTTATTCTCTGGAATTGGTTGAAAAAATATTAAACATGAGAATTACTAATTTTTTTAATTCTTGAAATTTTCGCAGAGGGAATGATTGTTGTTGCCAAATGGTACGAGAAGTGGGTACGTGCTCTAGTGGAGGAGGCAGATCCTGCTGGGGAGAAGCATTTAGTCAGGCTCGTTGATCACGGTGGCTTCTGGACATTTAGCAATGCAGAGATGAGGAAAATTAGATCAGATTATCTGACGTTGCCTTTTCAAGCAATTGAAGTTTCTTTAGCTAATATTAAACCCAAAAATGGTAATTTCATTGTTAATTCTCAATTATTGGCTTTGATGAGAGAATATAAAATAATTAATTAATTATAATTTTCTTTGTTGCACAGGTGAATGGCAACAGGAAGCCTACGACGTTGTAGCCCAAATCTGTTCAAATAGTATTGGACAGGCTCAAATAGAAGGTTATATCGATTCAAGTATTTTTATCAGTCTGTATATTAATGTGCCGAAGCATGGGGTAAGTTCTATCAATCATCTCCCACAATATTTAATCCAAAATGAATTGAATAAATCTCTATATTTTTTTTAATCAAAAATTTCGTTTTAAAAATACAAGTTCATGAGACGATTCCGTAATTAACATCAGTTAAATATTCAATTAATTACGAAATATGATTGATATTAAATAATTAAGTCATCTATCTCTTTAAGGGGTAAAAATCTTGTTCTGTTTTCGATTAAATTTCTCAATTGATCTCGATTTATTCATTTTCAAACGTTAATCATTTATTCTTCTTTCAGGTAATATCTGTAGCCCACGAATTAATAGCACGAGGTTTAGCTGAGTCAGTATCATTCGAGGAGATGCTCCCCGAGCAGCCACTGACTCAAACATAAATCTTTAACAACTAAAAACAATAATACAAAACGTGTGATTTTAAAGGCTTTGTCCATAATTCGTGTAAGTCCAGTAATTTCATTAGTTTAAAACATAGAGAACTGGTGGATACGTGTGAGTGTGTTTGTTTCTTTTTTCAATTTTGAAAACAGTGTGCCTGAGCATAATATCTCATGAATTAGTTCATCAACCCATCTTTTAAAGCCAAAAGCCCAATTTTTTGCATTTAACTGCGAAAGTTATTCCCCGCGAATGGTAACGGTTTTTTTGTTCGTTGAAAACTGAGAGAATTATTGGAATTAATACTGATAATTGAGTTCTTGCCCATCATCGGCCATCACCGATCGATAATCGATATTTTCATTCTAAAAAAGTGCAAAAAATTTCATCAAAATTAAATTTTTTCGAATTTTTCGTTTTGAATTAAACAGAAAAATTCATTTCGATATTTTTGTATATAAATAGAGTGCGTGGGAAGTGGCATTTTAATCTCATCAGTGCATGAAAAATAATTTTACTGTCAAAATACTGCATTTAAATTTATTAATCTCAATTATTCAATTAAAAAACAATGACTGATTAATTAATCTTCATGATGTATCATTTTTGAAGACCAGGTAAATCACGATAATGTCTGCAGAAATATAAATAACACTGGTGAGTGTCACTTGTATGAATGCAGAAGCAGTTTTTTCTATTAAAAGCAAAATTACATGATTTTTCAATTGAAAATGAATTTAGTTAGGACTTCATAACTTTTTATACGCCATTCACTTTTCTCTTTCATCGAGCATATTAATTACTGTAATGAGCGGCAATATCTGCATTTCAGTGGTCGAAATAAATCGACCCTACGATAAATGTTGAAGTTAATTTTAGGCTGAAATTCTGGTCGTAATACCTCCTTCTGTAAATATTGTAAACACTTATGGTTTTTCTTTTCCACATATTGAAATATTTATGCACTAACTGATAAGAGAGAGAGAGAGGAGAAATCCTAGAAAACGTTGAAATGACAATGGAGAATAATTAACGAAAATACTATTCAAATTATCCGAAAAAAAAACGTTAGAAGTAATATTAAAGTTAAAAATTGAGATCATGAACAAACGTACGAATAAATACCTATAAATTCGGTTAATGTAAATCAAGTTCAGGAAAAATGTTCACCAGACAATTGAATCCTATTTTCGAAGACTCTGTGGCCCCTGGGAGCTGGGAATCCAAATGTCGCGTTGTGTTAAAATGAAAAAAAAAATGAAACATAAATTGTATTGTTGTTAAAATGTTTCTTTCTGTAATTTTCATATATTTTTTTTGATACAGCAGAATTTAACTCAGTTTTTTGATAAAGCATTTACTATTTCCAAAAAATTAAAACAAAAATATATATAAACTTGAACTGATTTTTTATGCAAACAAGAAATAGAGGAGTTGGTAGAGTAAGTTGATAGCTAATAATTTATCTGGGAATTGCCAATCTCTTTTGTAACCCAGCTTGACCTTCCAAAAAAAGCGATGAAAAATGTTGAATGTTGAATACTTGATACTTAATATTGTTGATTTCTGATGTGAAAGAAATATTTTTCTAGGGAATTACTACTAAGATATGGCCGATAAGCGTAAATTTATATTCGTAAACGCGTCATCAACGAGATGTTAACGTAATTATTATCTTCATTTGATTATTCACATGTTTCTTTCTATTCTTTAATAATTATCGAGGTTGAAAGCATCGATTCATCCTCTGTACTAGTTTGGGAAATTGAATATGAGGTACAAATGTTGCTGACAAAATTAACCACTTACCTTTTTCTTCGATTATTGATTTTCTTGTATATAAAGAATTCTAATGTTATCATCTCAATGATAAATAACGACCCAGCTGTCAGGTTGTAGGATAATTTAGGGTTTATTTTCACGTGTCATTTATCAATAAATAAAAACTGGTTTGTATGTAAATATATATCGATGTAGTGTCTCTGGCGTTTTCATTAAATTTTCACCATTTTAATTGAGAAAATTGTTTAATGAGACCTTTAATACCCAGATAAGGCTGTAATCGAGGGGTAGTAACTCCTCATTACCCTGCAACGTTCCCGATCTATCCACAGGCTCTTGTTTTTAACGAGAATGTCGTTTTCTATTTTTTTTCTCAAGTCAATCAGTGAACTTGTGGAGTCCTGTGCTGTTTTTACTTGACCTGCGAGTGCAGTCGCGCCTTCTGCGATGTTGTTCGTCTCGTCAATGAGTCTAAATATAATTTAAAACATTTAAAAAAAATTGGAGGATAAAAATTTAATTTTTTTTCATTGAAAATTGTGTTTTTTACCCGTTTTGAGAGTCATCTCTGCAATTCTCAATATTTTCTCGTGTTAGTCTCATCCCTAGACGTGTCTGAGCACATTTCATGGGCCCATCAAGCCCTCTGATAGCCAAATTCGTCTTATTTATCAGGATTTCGTTGGCTGAAAGCCTCTTCAAGCACTGAAACAATTTTAATTTCAAAGAAATGATGACAATTGTTCTCTTGACTAACAAGATGATAATTTACGTCTTTTAATGCAGCTTCGAGGCTTCTGACGGTCTTCGTGAGGTAAACAATCTGATCAGTGAGGGCTATTTCTACTGCAGCAGCTTGTTTTCTCAAATCATTCACACACGACGCAGTATTCTCTTTCATATTCGCTCGCAGTACTTCGGACCGATTGATCGCTGTTTTTGCGTAAATTATCGATTGCTTAACGAAAGATGTGTGTCCGTCAGGAGTTGATTGGCTGAAACGAATGATCAATCGATTAATTTTCAAGTCAAAACGATTAAATTGAAGAAATGTGAAGGAGAATTTAAGGAATTCGTGATCAGTTTCCTTGGAATTCATTATAAAAAAATCATTGTAGGGAAAAAATTTATCTACACACTCTGGAGGCACCTGGACGCTCCCCGGTTTCCACTGCAATACCTCGGAATTATTTTTAAGGCCAACACAAGTCGTGTCGACATCGTAAGCACCTGATTTGTCTGACCAGTCGTGTTCGAGTCTCCGTTTCGCATCTTTCAATTCCACCAGTCGCATTTTCGTCTCGTCGATGCAGCGGGTGTACAAATTGAGGATATCGCCGCATAATTTCACTTCCTAATGATTTTTAAAATTTTTTTTAGAGTGAGAATTTGTTGTTTGAGCTTTTTTGAATGTTACTTTTATTATTTCTTCAGCTAGAGCGTCGTGCACGAGGTCGGTCTGTCCCCTCGACTTCCTGATCCTCTGAATATCCCTGTCCATGTTCTTAATCAGCTCAACAGCCTGCGAGCAGTTCCCTAATCTCCTGATTTCCCCCTGAATTTTCGATATTTCGGATTCAACTTCTCTGATTACGAAATTCAATTCAGTCTTCCAGAGGAAAATTTCTGCAGCTCGCGCTCTCAATAAGAGACTGTTGTCCAGCTGTTCTTTATCTGTTTGAGGGAAGATTTGGGACTCCAGGAGTTTTGTTTTGAACTCGTGATTGCTGAAATTAATTTTTCATTGCGCATTTTGGAGAAATACAGTTTATTAGCATTTCCAGTGATTTTTTTTTCATCAGTAGTTCAGGAATTTTAGTTGAAGTAGAGTTAAGGAGCAATTAATTGGTTGAATAATAATGCGCTTTTTTTAATTATTCTCATTGCTCACTTCGCCTCACGAACGCGATATTTCGAATCCTTTAGAAATTCTTCGTAACTATTCTGCCACTCTCCAGGGCTGTATCGAGCTATGGTGAAGTTACCAACAGTTGGCCTGGTTCCTGTGAGCTTTGCGAGTCCTGTCCACCTGTCGAGGGGTGGCTCACACTCCTCGGATGGCGCAGGGGGTGTTAAACATCCAGAATTCTCATCAATTCCTCCCTACGAGTTGAAATGAAAAAAACGTCTTCACTAATTGGGCTTTTATCTCGATAACCGTCGGTTTTAGGAGAAAATGTCATAAAATCTTTTTTGTAGCTGAGGAAATTTCTAACGGAAAATGTTTTGTGGCATTTTCTCCTCAAGCCACTCATTAAGGAGATAATTTAGGATTTAATAACGTCACTGATCGGAAAACTTATTTGAAATGAAATGAAATGAAATTTAAGCATTTCACTCAATAAATTTTATTGTATTAGTAGTTATTGATGGATATTTTTACCTTTTCGCTAGGCAAATTGTCTCCAGCCTCTTCATTTACACAATTTTCAGGGCAAAAAGTTTTTTTTTCGTCACAATTCTCGAAACTATGGGGATTTCCTTCATTATTTTGACTTAAATTCTTGAATTTTTTATTTTCGGTAAATTCCTGAAGCTTTTGAGTCTCACAAACCGTTGACACTCCCGGTCCCTCCATTTTTATCCCTCATAATTCAGGAATTCAATGAAAGAAACAACGAAAAAAATGAGCATCTAGAATAAAAATTCCCTCATGAAATTTAAACAGTTTACCTTTTCACTAGCTAAATTGTCTTGAACCCCTTCATTTCCACAATTTTCAGGACCAAAGGATTCCTTTAAATTCTCATTTCGAAATCTTTAATTTTTTTATTTTCTATGAACCTTTTAAGACTTTTCAGTGCCACAATCCTCGGTTGACACCCTCTCCCTCCATTTTTAATCCTCATAAGTCATAATTTAATAGAACAATTAAAAACACGAGCATTTCACCCGAAATTTTACTAAAAACCACATCTATAAATTTTTTAATTTTTAAATTTCTTTAAATTCTCGTTTCGAAAACTTTAAAGTTTTCATTTTCTACAAACTTCTGAGACTTTTCAGTGCCACAATTCACCGTTCACCCCCTCTCCCTCCCTTTTCATCCCTCATAATTCATAATTCAACAGAACAGCAAAAAAAAATCAGCAATTCAACCCAAATTTTATTAAAAACCACAAATAGACAAGCAGTGAGCATAGAAACTCCCAACAAAAGAGCCACAAAAGCGCAGTGATAAAAGGTGATTCCAGGGGATTAAAAAATTCCATTGTAAGCGATTTGAGGTGAGAGTGCTGGTGGTGGATTTTACACGAGACCGGATAATGCCTCGGCTGAAGGATAGTAGGAGCGTAACAATTGTCCACGCTCTCTGTCGACAAAAAGTGTCTTCCTCTTGACAAATATTTCGCGTTCGAGGTCACTTCGGGATTTCACGAGATCCGCCTGAGTCTCTTCAGCTCTCTTCAGCTGTCCCGACATGACAGACAGGTTTTCTCCGATTGTCTTCACTTCCTCGATCAATCTAAAACGAAAAATCAATCCAATCGACCAATGCTTCAATTTTCCTGAGGATTAATTCATCTTTCTGGAGGAATTATTCAATTTTTATACCCGAATTGGGGCTCATCCCGACAACTTTCGACATTCCTTCGGTATAAACGCTCGTCGAGACGAGTCTGAGCCACTTTTAGCGCCTCATTGAGACCTTTGGCTGCCCCTCGGAGCTCTTCAATTAAATTTTCTGTCGTCGAGAGCTGATTCAGACACTAAAAAGATTAACTGCAATATTAATGATCTTTCAAGTTACATTGTATTAATGATTTTACATTAATTGCAACATTAATGATTTAAAAATCATTTTAATCCGTTCTGGGGATGTTTTTAAAGCACTTCTCACCTTCGAAAGTTCTTTCTCCAGTTGCTGACAGACTTGCTCAGTCTGAGTGACTTTCTCCGCCAATTCCTTGTCCACCTGCATGGCCTGACTCCTCAGATCCTTCACAGCCTTCACGTAAATTTCGTCCAGGGTGTTCCGGAGGTCAATGGACCGCTGCCTGACAGCTTCAGCAGTCGCCAGGGCTTCAGAGGTGAAGTGGTCGTAGCTCTCTGGAGTTGATTGCCTTGAGAAAATTATTTTCACGAGTTATTTGATATAACCCCAGGAGTTTTAAGTTTTTAAATATTTGACTGACTCCGGGGGTACTCTAGTGGCTCCTGGTCTCGTCAAAATCAGTGGAGAATCGTTCGTCAGACCCACGCAGAGGGAGTCAATCTCGTAGGCGTCTAGTTTATCTGTTACATCGAATTCTAGTCTCGATTTCGCTGTCTTCAACTCCAGGAGCTGATACTCCACGGATTCTCTGGTTCTCGTCAGGGTGTTTCTCACTTCGTTGCATAGAGCAACCTCCTGAAAGTGCGCGCGGAGAGAAATGTTCAGGGAAAATTACGGAACTCAGCTCGCTCACCGATTACGGAATCTACTCAGAAAATTTTTAGCTGACGGTATCATAATTTTTTACAGGAGATTCGGGTCAAAATTACGAAACGCTCTGGAAAAATTCCGTGATTTTAGGTAAAAATTACGCGACAGTTCCATAAAATCCACGTTTCACTCTGGAATTACGGAAAAGATACGTAATTTTTATTGAATATTTCTATCCGTGTGCTGGGCAACTCTTGCGTAAATAAATGTGAAAACTCTTCGGTAAAAAGTTAAATAAAAAATTGAATTGAAGGCCTTGGTTTATTTTTTTTTATTTTACGGAATTTTTTTTTTGTGGAAAAAGGGATACATTACTTTCACCAATTCCTCTTCCACTTTATCCCTAACGAGATCGGGCTCCAGTCGTTTACAGCGAATGTCCAAAAACTCTCCGGCTATGGACTCCGGTAGTGTCAGAATCGAGAGGGACTGCTTCACACGACGCAGCTCACCCTCCAGCAACTCTATCTCGTCCGTTATCTCGTGCAGTGCCTTCTCCAGCTCGGTTTTCCACCGGTGGATCACGCTGGAGCGCTTACTCAGTCTGTCCCGATTCTCCAACTGCACTTTGTCGGTTGTCTTGTAAATTCTTGAGTTATTCTCTCTCGTTTTTTCGGCTACAAACCTATTTCGGAAAATTTCGAGAGGAAATTCACTTCCGTTTGAAGTCAAAGACTTATTGTATTTGTTTATTTGTTCATTTTTTTTATGAAATCCTTATCATTTGTCTTATTAATTCAGTTTAAATTCATTTTAGTCTCCTAGAAATGTTTAAAAATGCGCAAGATCTCTCGTTTTTTTTTCACCTACGGATCTATTTTCAAAAATTGGGGAAAACATTCTATTCTATTCAATTTCTAATTTTTTCTTTGAATCGTAATTTTTTTAATTTCTTTAAAATACGACAAAAAAAATAAACATTTAATTTTTTTTAGAATTACAATCCTTTTTCATAAATAATTGATAAACAATCAATTTTTCAACACTAAAGGGGATTTTTAAAATGATTTTTTAGTTTTATTTTCGATGTTATTCTGTTCAAAAATTGAAAAAATGTCAAAAACTTTACCATTTTCGTCAATATTTCACTCTAAAAATGATTCTGCGAAATTGGTTTCATGTAAAAAAAAATATTGCCGGAAGTTTAAATAAATCATATTGTTTATTCATAAGAAGGTAATGTTTAAAATAAAAAAGCTTGAATATCAGTTATTAAAAATAGTCTCACTGAGCCTCGTCGATGGTCTTCCGGTTTCTATCAAAAAAAGTTTGATTATGTGCCCTCCACTCAGCCGGACTGTATCTAGTAACGGAGTAACGATCGACGACAGGTCGTACGCCTGTAATTCCGGCCGTGGGAGTGAAAACGACACGACCAGTTGCCCATGGGCCAATTGGCCCCATCGTCTCCTCACTTGTAGGAGGAAGATCGTCACTGGCTTGAGGCAAGTACGGCGGTGGAGACTTTCCTCCCTCGTTCATGCGGTTTTCGAGGACGTCGACCGTTGGATCAACCCTCGACATCTATCCACAATGAAACGTGAAAAAAAAGTTGGAAACTCGAATCGATCAAAAATTCCATTTCATTTTTCACTAATCGAAAACATCCATTCAGTTTTTTGGGAATAACTTGAAACCTAAAGGAGATAGCTCAAAATTTATAAGAACCTTTTTTATAGCGCTGTTTCTCCTCTACAAAAATGTTTCTATAAAAAATTCCGCTATCTCCCTTGGATTAAGAGATATCCACGAAAAATCACTGTTCAATTTCAACATTTCTATTCACAGGGCATGGTCAAGTGAAGAATATTCAATTATCAATATCTAAAAATCGGCTGAGTGAAATTGAAATTTTTTTTTCCATTTTGAAGATATTTCATCAGACGTTGCAATGAAATTTGATTTATTGAAATCGCATCGATGGGTCCCGAGATAGTGACGATTTAACAAGAGCACTCCAACTTGCTTGTTATTTGATTTTGAAATTTGATTCATTCAGGTTTTATTTGCATTTTTTTTTTAATTCGTAGTTTTGTGGGTTTTTTGTGGGATTACGCGACTCACCTGGGGTTCCCCCAGATGTCTGACCCCACAGGGTTCAATCCCCGGCTTCTCCACTCCGTCATCACCCGTCGGGCGTTTGTTAATGTCACACCGCGCCTCCCTCACTCTCCCCGGGTCATTCCCGGCGCATCGCTGGTCCAAACAACTCCTCTGCAACATCCCACGCACTTCAACACGAACTTCGGGATGATAAGTTAGCTCGAGGATACCCGGGAAATGGATTTCAGAGCGGCTCGGGAGCACGCACGGGGTCTCGGCGGCACGCAATCCTCCCCTAGTCTTCCTCGATTATTTGGGGTGGAGAGAGACGTTACCAAGGTGGCATTGCACCTGGAGAAGCTAAACAGCTTTCTTTATTGATCAGAAACAACACGAAAACAACATAAAATTATTTCAACCAATAAGTCCCTAATCCTTAATTTTTACAGCGCATCATTGATTTTTCGTTTGAAAAAAATTGTTCGTAGGTTAAAAAAATTTGACGAATGCCGAATTCCAACCATTTTTCATTCAAACTATTTAGAATAATTTAATTAACGAATAGGAAGTCATTGTTTCTTCCTTTATAATTTTTTAATAAAATAAATTCTGACGTAAAATTCGTTAACAATAAATTTTTAAAAATGATTGAATTACTGAAAAAAAATATTTTCATAAGAAATATAAAAAATGAATGATTTGAATTTTGATGGGGAAAATCTGTTTAGCCAAGCGAATGTGGCGTTCAAGTGAGTGGAGGGGAGGGGGAGGTGGAAGGGGTGGGGGTGGGTTTAGTCGTCTGGAAAACCCAGGAATCCAAATCCCGAAACGTCGGTGAGCGGTTGCCGAGGGTTTTCGAGGCGTGCCTGACAGGGTGGTCAGGAGGCCTCGCTGAGTTTGTTCAAGCGAACGACGAGGCTCAACAGAGCACACACTGACCCCCCCCCCCCTCTTCAACTGTGGGGTACAGTGTCATCCCAATCCTTCCAACACTCGCTCCTCGATTTCACAAACCAAAACCCTTAAACCCAAACTCGAAGCGAGTGACCCACACACTTTTAACTGTTTGAATATGAACTTTGAAGTGTAGCTTTCAATTTCAGGGGGATATCAGTGCAAATGTTATCATTTTCATCTGTCAAAAATTTCATTCTCGTTTTATATAAATTCTTCATTTTAACAATTTACATTCGAGTGAATTCATAAAAAAATTACAACGAATTGTGATATTTTTATGTTGATAATAATTCAATTTGTTATCACAAAACATGAAATTACAATAAAAACGGTACAATTATAATTGAAATATCAATTAGAACAATTAATGAATTCTTAAGAGAGAAAAAAGAGAATAAACACATAAATAAATAAATATAAACACGAATAAATAAACACAACGATAAAAAATGAATATTAATAAATATAAATAAAGAGAGAGGAATATAAAAGTGTGAATACTCCTCAAGAAATGAATAAATAATTTCTTTTTTGTTTTTCTTCCCTAGGTCTTAAGATCGCTGAATTTTTTTTCAGCATATTAATACCAAAAACTGTTTGAGCATCGTTTTCCCCTCGTTGAAAACCATCAGACCCTGTGAGCACAATTTTATGATGCGTAACGAGCTTATATAAAACGGTATAAGTACGAAAACATTCCACCTGGCTGAGTGCCACGACGCTCCCCCGATGCAGAATAAATTCACTCGAGTTTACATCACCGATAAATACCCCTAAGCCCCTCCCCTCCTTCATTCACTAGAAATCAAATCGCTATTCCCCCCCCCCTCTCCGGGCCACCCACAATGAAATTGCATGAATGATGATAAATAAATAAGCGCAGAACAAGAGATAAAATGAATTTAAAAATTATGAAAAATGAAGAGAAGGGATGAGCAATTGAGAATTTCTCATCGCTGAGTGGAAAACCCCTGCAATGGCCCGAGAGATAAAGAGAAACACTTAATTAATTAAAGGAGGGTGAATTGAAAATAGCCAATGTCAATTAAATGCCTCTCTTCATCTTTGAGAAAAAAAAATTCGAAAGGAGCTAAAAGCGTTCGCAAGTAGAAAAACCCCTGTCAAGGGAAACAGAAATGAATAGATGATAAAAAAATATAAATAAATATTAACTCTGTGAAATTTCCTTCGTGCTAATAAAAAACTTTTTGAAGTGGATAAAATCCTCATGAAAATTAGTCAATAAAAAACAACACTAAAATCTTAAATAAAAAAAAACCACGAGCTAGATGAAAACACTTCTTTCCATTGAAAAAAATAGAAAAAGTGAAGTCATCCTTAAGCAGAAAACGCTTAAACAAAAATAAAACTGAATAAGGGAGTAAAACTGAATAAGTCAAGGGAAACAGAAATGAATAGATAAGAAAAAAATATAAACAAATATAAACTCTGTGAAATGTCCTTCGTGCTAATAAAAGCCTTTTTGAAATGGATAAAATCCTCATGAAAATTAGTCAATAAAAAACAACACTAAAATCTTAAATAAAAAAAAACCACGAGCTAGATGAAAACACTTCTTTCCATTAAAAAAAATAAAAAAAGTGAACTCATCCTTAAGCAGAAAACTCTTGAACAAAAATAAAACTGAATAAATGAGTAAACAACAATAAAAAACCCAAACAAATGTTTAAAAAAAAGCTCTCCAAGTGAAAAAAAACAGCGCAGCACCAACAACCCCCGAATAGCAAAAACCTCCCAAAAGCCCGCCACCAGCTGAAATCAACTTCTCCCTAAAAAAAATTGAAAACCCCCTCTCCCCAAGTAGAAAACCCCCCGCAACCCAAAAACAAATAAACGACTGCACAGCAGCAAAAGGAAACAGCCGAGTAAAAAAATTTCCCTCAAATGCATTTTGCGGGGGGGGAAAAAGTCCCTCGCCAGTGAAAAAAGCCGGTGTTAAGGGCGTGGTATCAATCGGGTTGGATTTCCGAGCTCACGCCCCTTCGGGAAATATTGCGCACCCCCGGTGTTTCCCAGTGCCCGCAACCCCCGCTGTCCGGAGGGTTGTGGGTGGAGCCAGCCAATGACATAGTGGTGGCAACCGACAACGAGTCATCTGACAACGTGGCCTTGGAGCCGCGCCCCCCGAATGGCTAACTAGCGCTAGTCCTGGGGAAGAGATAGCCACTCAGCCAGCAAGTCCCAAACCATCCACCAAACTACCCCACTTTTGCGAACTAGCATAACTACCGAAGGTGTTAACGGCTGGAGTTACCACCACCCCTCACCCCCTCGTTACTTCGGTGGCCGGGGGAGGGGGAGGGGAAGGGGGGAGGTATGGGAACGTGTCTGTACACTCGTCCAGCCTCCAACGACCAGTCACTACTGGAAAACCCTCTGACATCGGCGACAAACTGGGGGTGGGTTTTCGTCTTTTACCTTTCATCCCTCCCCCCCCCGGCGCTCGCCCAACGGTTTGGACTTCTTCGATGATTTTAACGCGCTCGGGTGCTGGGGAGATAGACGCGGAAGTAGCTACCGGGAAGACTGTTGCGAGGGAGTTGGTGAAAGTTATGCGGAGGACACTGACAACCGGTTCCATGGTCGACTTTTAGAGGATACGGAGGATGGGCACAGGTCAGTGGTGGTTTTGAGTTTTTGAGGGGCTTCGCAGTGGGCTTTGGTGGATTTTTGGAGAGGCGAGGGCGGGAGCAGTGTGAATTCCTGGGAAAGGAATAGTTTTTTGGGTTTTAGGGGTGTGCGAGGGATTCTTGGGGGGCACTCGTTTTTGGGAATGCGTCAGGGGGTTTTGGGGAGGTTGGGGTGGATTCGTCGGAATTAGAGATGGGCTCAGGATAATTGGGGGGGATGACGGGACAATTTGTGATGAAATGACAGATTTTCGGAATTTTGCATGAGGTGAATTTTAATATTGCGAATTTCTAAAAATTGGGGGTAGATTCTTAGACATTGGGGACGGATTAAGGAGAAGCCGTGATGGGTCGCTGGAAATCGAAAGTTTATTTTCTTTGTGAAGGAAGAAAATTTAATTTAGGGGTCATTTTTGGGATTTGTTATTTGTAGAATTCTCTTGAAAATTTCGATGTCAATGGATTTAAGATATTTTGGGAAATGTGAGCTTCAATAAGAAAGATTTTTTCATTCTTTCAGAACAATAATTCAAGTAATTTATTTTTGATTATGTAATTGGGAATGCGTTGTGGTTTTTATTTAATCATTTTTACAAATTTTGGTGCGATCTGCAAAAAATTGTTTTCAAGAAAATTCATCTCTCGCAATTAATTTAGGGATATGTTTACGAAATAGAAGATTTTTCAAACAATTTTTTCTAACAATTTCTTGAGAAAACAATTGGGGACTGATTTTTTTAATTTTAGAAAATTTAATTTAGAGGTAATTTTTGTTATTTGTTATTTGTTGTTTGTAAAAAAAATATCTCCCTCAATTAATTTAGAGATATATTTAAAGAACTACTCCGCAAAACAGAATATTTTTTACACAATTCTTTCTAACAATTTCTCAACAAAAAATGTGAAAATGGTTTTGTAATTATGAAATATTTTTCTTGATTGGCAAAAAATCAGTGGGGGATGCTTTTAAATATTTGCAGTGGCATTTTATTATTTTTGGTGAAAGTGAAACAAAAATATCTGAGTGGAGGCAATAATCCTCGTGCAGGAGGATAGAGGAGGAGGATTTGATCGGTTTAGTCTCGGTTTCAACAATGAGACGCTTCGGTATTTCGGGGTGTGAGATGTCTACCGTGAAAGGGGGATGCTGGGTTGGCTTAGGCACAGCCGTGTTTTTCTTGCCGCGGATCATTAGGACGATTAAGGGCAACCCACGAAAAGGGAGAGAACAGATTAAGGGAATCTTCCGGAGCCCCTTTCGTCTTACCACTTAAGTTTTTCCCTCGGTATTTTTCCCGGGCTCTGGGAATTATGTCTGACCACTAGTGATTTCTCTACTGAAGGAAAAACCGCTTGAAATTATTAATCATTTGCTGTCAATTCTTGTTCAGTTCTTTTGAGGGGAAACAAAATCGAAATCGCATTTTTTCACTTTTTAGAGGAAAACTTGTCTGACTATTCCGGAAATTTCTACTTACATTAGTGCGTTACAGGTGACCGGCTACTGGATATTGCCTGCAACGTCTGCGAGGATCGTAGTTCAGGGAAACATTATGGAATTTACAGTTGCGATGGTAATTGCATTAATTAATGAATTAACAAATCAATTATTAATTAAAAGAAAAATCCGAAAATTCCGTTCTGATTAATTCGCAAATATCTCTGCAACCATCGGATTTAGCGAAAAATTTCAAATAACCTTTTTTGTAGAGCACGAAATTCCCCATAAAAAATGTTATTTTATATTTTTGGCTAAATTCAACGGGTGCAGAGATATTCCCTAAAAAATCCGGAACAGAATTTTTAGGTTTATCAAAATAGTTAAGGAACTGTTTTTTTTTGTTAACGAAATAAAGGTTGTTCGGGATTTTTCAAACGAAGTATCCACAGCAATCGTGAGTACACCTGCAAGGCCCAGGGTCCAATGAAAGGTCGTTGTCCCATTGACAAAACTCACAGGAATCAGTGTCGAGCTTGCAGATTAACCAAGTGCTTTCAAGCAGGAATGAACAAGGACGGTAAGTGCACCATTGTTCTCTCCTAAAATATCTCACAGCATAAATATGACTAAATGAAGCTTTTAAAAATCCCAAAACAATTTTTTGGATTTAAAAATTTATTTTTCTTGAAATTGTTACAGACGAAAAATCTAAAAAATTGTTTCAATTAAAGTACATAGGAAATTATTGAAGTATAAATTTTTGTCATATTTTTCCCTCATTTTCTCATTATATTCACATTCAGTTGGATATCATCAATTTTTAAAATTTTTCACCGCAGCCAATTTCAAGAAAAAAAAATTGGTGAATAAATGAATCAAAATCTAATTTATTATTATCAGTGTGGTCTTCCCTTGAAAAAAATTGTAGAATCGAATTGAAGCGGAAATTCATCGAATTAAATTTTTAAAAAATTACCGAAGACTTTGTGATGGGGGAACTGTAGCTCCAGTCACTCTAGAAGCCTATTAATACCCACGGCCCATCACGCTCGACTCGTCACTCTCCCGGGGGATTATACACTTCAACCCTTTCAGCGTCTTAGAACCCCAATTGATAGGGATCAATATTTTTATTAAAAGAAAAATTGAAGGGACTAGTCCTTTCAATTGAAGCAGCGGTGAGCGTAGTCGCTAAGCGGATGGGTGACCATAAGAAAAGACTAGCTCAGGAACATGCATTTAATTCGCTCCCCAACGATTCATTAATAAAATCGTGAATAAATTTTTTAATTGAGCAACCGGGGAATACGATTTGAAAAATTAATAAAGAGATTATTCTGTCAACTCCACAATTTTTCGTAACTATTAATTAATACTTTATACTGAATTTTTTTCTCAAGCATTAAAAAAATTTCTGGCGAAAACTCACTCCTGCCGTTAGAATTAAACAAACTGAGACATTCGAATCAAGACGTTCAGAAAATTGCTAGTCACTCAGACGTCTCAAACGTTTGTAATAATTCCTTCATGACTCACTCCCTCCTGTCCCTAAAAATGAAATCAATTCCCCAAAAAATCACCAACATCTCTCCCTCAAATAAACCCATGAAAAAAATCCCAAAGTCACCTTACCCGGAGCCTCTCCTTTCCACAGAAAAAAAATTCCCTTCCATCATCATCTCCCCATTATCTAAATGTAGACATCGAACAGAATCTATTGATATTTTAGGTATCCAATCAAATTCGTAGATTTAATTCGTAGTTTTAACAGAATGCCCAGCTCATCAATTTTTTGTAATTCATCGAAGTAAAATGTACTCGCTATTAAGCACTAAAAAATTCAATTCGAAATTCAGAATTCAAAAAATTGAGACTTAAAAATTGTCGTCTGAATTTTCCGCTCCAAATTCGGGAAATTTTTATCGTGTTCAAGTTTCATTGAAATTCCAGGAAATGTATCATTGAAAAATCGAATATTGGATTGATTTTCTGTTCAAATATTCTGCGAAAATTCCCAAAAATCAGGAACATCGAGGGAAAAATTGAAAATTCATGTCATTTTACTTCCCAATATTCCTGTTCCCCCGAAACCTGGATTTCCGTGAATTCCACATAAACCTTGAGATTTCCACCATTTTTCCCTAAATCCGACTCAATATCACTCACGAGATTTCTCTACCTCCCTTGAAATTTCCCTACCTCCCTTGAAAATTGAGACTTAAAAATTTTCGTCTGAATTTTCCGCTCCAAATTCGGGAAATTTTTATCGTGTTCAAGTTTCACTGAAATCTCAGAAAATGTATCATTGAAAAATCGAATATTGTATTGATTTTCTGTTCAAATATTCTGCGAAAATTCCCAAAAATCAGGAACATCGCGGGAAAAATTGAAAATTCATGTCATTTTACTTCCCAATATTCCTGTCCCCCCGAAACTTCCTGGATTTCCGTGAATTCCACATAAACCTTGAGATTTCCACCATTTTTCCCTAAATCCGACTCAATATCACTCACGAGATTTCTCCACCTCCCCTGAAATTTCAAAAAAATTCTACCACTGCATCCCAATCAAGACATTCCGAAAAATCCCAGTCACTCAAACGTCCGTAATAATTTCCCACTCACCATCACTCACTCCCCCCTCCCTCTAACCGAAATAAACTCCCCAAAAAATCCCCCCCCTTTCAAATAAACCCATCAAAAAAATCCCAAAGTCACCATACCCTGCCGCCTCACCTTTCCCCAGAAAAAAATTCCCTCCCATCATCATCTTGGCTGCATGAAAGAGGCAATCGCCCCCTCTCCCTCCACCCTCCCCCTTCTCCCTTCATAACTCCCGCGAAACCACTCGAGAATCGGGTGGGAATAAGGAGAGTGGGTCTCGGGAAAATGATAGAACC